AATATTTTAGGCTTATATGAGAAAAGACAAAAGTAAGGAAAATTTAAATAATAGCATTAAAAATATTTTTTTTTGTCACAGATGTTTTTTAGAATTACGAAAAAAAAAAAAACCCAACAGAAGCTACTGTATGTCTTTCCTAAGTGAAAGCAAAATTCATTGTTATGGTTAATTTTATGTATTAAATTGAGTAGGCCAGAAGGTGGCCCAGAATCTGTTCAAACATTTTTCTGGATGTTTTTGTGAGGGATGAAATTAACATTTAAGTTGGTGAACTGCTTAATGCTGGTTGCCCTTTTATGTGGGTAGGCCTCATCCACTCAGTCAAAGGTCTAAACAGAACTAAAAGTTGACCTTTATGTGAGAAAGCGAGAATTCTTCCTGCTGCCTAACTTTGGGCCAAATCTTCTGGATCCGCAGCTTCTTGTGGGTCTTTCTTTTGTCAGGTTTCATAATTGTGCAAGCAAATTCCTTGCTCACCTTTAGTCTTATACACACACACACACACACACACACACAGACACACATACCCTATTGGTTTTATTTCTCTGGAGAGCTCTGACTATTTAATCTGTGGAATTATTTAATTATTTTGCAAAGAAATTACTTGGGTCTGGTTTCCTGAGTGAAGCTGTGGGATATCAGGAAGTCTGGAGTATGTGTACTTGTACTTCTGTATTTTGTAGATGTGGTACTATAAGTGTACTACGAAGAGAACAAGAATTCCTGATATTTCAGTTGAAAACTCTAAGTACATGAGATTCATTTATTGACCATGGATAACTGGAAACTGTTTTGAGGTAGATGAATATACAGCTCTTAGTTTTGTCCATATAAAAACTCAAGGAGAATTGGGTTTACATGGCATAGGGGCTGTGCTTGGGGAATGGAGGGCAGCTTTCTGGAGCAAGGCTCTGCCAGTGGTGTGCACAGAGCTTCTTTGCTCCAAACTCAGGGAAGCCAGTGGAGGGCCTGTGCTTGGTCTTTCATGGAGCGAGCTCTGCAGGAACCCAATCACCTTCTCCCTGCTCACCCTGCCTGTAGGGACTCAGGGGATCACTGTGTCAGGTGTGTGTGTGTGTGTGTGTGTGTGTGTGTGTGTGTGTGTGTGAAGTGTCAGGGCTTGGCCTTTCAAAGAATCATCAGGCTTTTACCCTAAAGAACAGTCATGTGTGGAACAAGGTTGCAAAAGCTGATTCACAGTCATCTCCAAACTGCATTTCCAGTAATGACCTGCATTCTCACCATCAGTTTTTTAATTTTCTTTTTTGGTGGGGATCAAACACAGCGTCTTGGGCTTGTGAGGCAAGTGCTCCACCATCAAGCTACACCTACAGCCCTATTGTTTTAAATGTAGTGACCACGCAGTAACAAAATTTGGGATGGGGAAGAAGGCTACTATTTTTCATTATAAGCTTTAGAAATTCAAATGTTGAACATGTGTAGCTTTGAGAAAAGTAGAAAATATAAAAATAAAAACCTCTGCTGCTTATTTTCTGTTACAAGTAATACATGTCAAATGGGCAAAATTCAGAAAGCTTTTCCTCAAAAAGCCACCATCTAGAAATATTTGCTATTGACTTTTGTTCCATATTCTCCTCAGATAGTCATACATATATTTTTATCACTGCATATTAATTATACAGAATAATAGGTTTCATTGTGACATATTCATGCACGCATATATCATACTTTGCTCTTGACTATCTCCTAGTTTTTAAAAAACAAAAAGAGATCACGTTAGTTTGTTTTTGTGACTAAAAAGTTTGTCTTTAGGTATACAGTAAGTGTTGAAGAGTATTTATCTGATACTCTGTGAATTACTATTGTTTGTTTCTCAGTGAAGATTTCAGTGGTAAGTACTGTAGATAAACAAGGACGTAGGCTATAGGACTGGGTCTGGGGAACAGCTGGGGCCAGGATTTAAATAACTGCAGGACTTTACATCTGTTTTCTTTTTGTTCATTCTTCTCTCTTACTGAGCACTGGTAAAAAATACTGGGAACAGTTGTAGAACTTCACATCTTTGGAAAATATATCCCTTAGTTTTGTAGACCATAAGTCTAAACTACTCTGTAGATTTGTTTGCATTAGTAAGTGGCGCATTAGCAGTGAGAGGTTCTTATAGAAACTTGATGCTGGAAGTAGGAGAGGGCACCATTAAGGAGCATGGTCAAGGAAGGGAGGAGTCTGGGTAGACAAGAAGTGACATCCTCTATGGATGCCTGTTGGTCAGCTACACCCTAAAGAGCACATGCCAGTATTCACCCCTGCCAGCAGTGAACTCGCTGCCTGTGGGCTGACATTCTTTCCAGCATGGGGAATTATCACCAGGAAGAAAATCTATAATGACTTGCATTCAACAGAAGCTTCCTGTTTGTCTGAATTTCTGTCAGGCAGACACTGTTCTCATGAGAGCTTTCTGGGGAAGAGCTCTTTCTGACTTTGTGCGCCATCTGTCATCTTTCGCTCTCAGAGATAACGCACATCCGATGTTGGGGGGGTCCATTTCGAGGGTGACCCAGAGGCATCCTATCTGACCAATGTGATGTCCTGTGCTGCTTCTTACTGGCACAGCAATGTGATCATACAGGAATACACATGAAGGGACACCCAGCGTTAGTGAAACCACACATCTCACCGGGTGGCTTAACCTAGATTTGTGCCCTGAGGTGGGGCTGTGGCAAGGTGAGGCCCAGCAACCTCAGGGCAGGATGTGATTTTTGTCTGATTTCTTACAAAAATGCAGAGATTGAACTTGTGGGACTTCAACCACAGAGGTTCAGTCTTTTCAGGGGTGAGTGGGAGAAGGAACACACTCGCACCTCTCCTGGTTTTATGAAAATGAAACAGAGACTTGAAGGGTGTTCTCAAAAGGGGCCAGTGTGCCACCTTGACTTTGGATGCAGACTTTAACTAAAATGATTCCCATCTTGTGGCCCTCAAAGATTTGGTCAAAACTCCTGTATTCCCAGCACTTGGGAGGCTGAGGCAAGAGGATAGCCATGAGCTCCAGGCCAGTAGCTACATAAAGAGTTCAAGGCCAGCTTGTCTCCCCCCCAAAAAAAAGGGAAAAAAAATTTAGTCAAAGGGTTTGGATAGGAATGTTTATTTGGTGTTTCCCAAATACCTACCAGAAGTTCTACCACTCTCCGAAGGTACACAGTTGCTTCCGCAACCCTCCAGTAGGCGGGAGGTGGCTGGGTGTCCTCCAACACCAGTGGAGCATGGGTTGACTTCTTTAGCACACAGAGGAAGACATTATTTGGACTTAAGCCTTATATTGTTCTGTTCAGTATTATCAGGCATTGTAACCCTAAAATACCACATTTGAATGACTTCCTCTGCTCTCCTCTTACCTGCTACTGTTCATCTAACCTTTATGTAACTGACCTCTATCTCCCCAGATGGAAAACCTTCCCAGTGTTAAGTACATCTGGGTGGCACTGACCATGCCACATGTGTTTTCATGTGGTTTAGCCTTTTTGTTCTTCCTATGTCTTCCAGGTGACAGCTCTGCAACTGTGCTTCTGGATCACCCTGTTTCTACTCCTGGAGGTGGAGATCTAGCTCTTGGGGAAGCTCCATTGTACTATACAATGGGGGAGGAGGAGAGAAATGGCCATTCCTTCCCCTTATACTTGCTTGAACCAGTGTGCTATATTTAAAGAAATAAGCAGAGATACTCTATTTGAACCAGAAATACACCACTGTATAATTTGTGGTTAGAGTAAACATGGGAGATGATTGTTTATTAAGTTTTTCTAGAACACAAGTTTAGTTTCAGGAACATTGCCAAAGATAAAAACCTCTTGAGAACTTATTATATACCCAATATTAGTCTTAGGTCTTTACATGTATTTTCATTTCATTTCCTTGAATACACTACAAAGGAGATACTGTTGTCAATATTCCCACTCTACTAGCCAAACAACTTGCCCAAGGTAGCAAGGTAAATAGAGATTTACTAGGCAGTCTAGTTCCAGCACATATGTCTAAACTCTACTCCGCACTGAACCATAGGGTATGTACTCCATGGCTTTCTCAGAGGACATGTGACTATGGACAAGATCATGAGAGCACTTATTACCAAAGGCTTCCCAGACAAGATATTTCTTTAAAATGGTCATGGATATCTCATGTGTGCAGCATGTTTTCAGTGAAACATGACGTTCTAATATCACAGACTAGGATGAGCACATTTTGTATGCTAGTAGAATTAATGGTTGGAATAAAAATAACTTAAAATAAAGTTTTATTTTTTTTAGTACTCTTATTTAAAAAAAAAAATTGGCCTCCCTCTTCCAGGATGAATACCCTAGACAAAACCTGGTCCTCGTGCTATTGTGACAGAAAAATAATAGCAGCTACCATTTCTTGAGGGCTTGTATTTGACTCTTAGCTTTTAAAAAATCTTACAGCTACTTTGAAATAGGTGTCATTATCTCTATTTTACAGATGAGGAAACATAGGGTTATATGAAGTTAACTGAGGCAAGTATGTCCTAGGTGTACTTCGTGGACTATGGAACTAGCCATGCTCTGACTTGCAGTTCCACTGAATTGTGCCATAGTTAAAGTCTAATTTCTTTACCTAGGCCACTGACAGCCCTACCTTCTATGTTTCAGTATCTTCCACTGGCTGGCCAGGGCTGCACAAACCCCACTGTGAAAGCCATTACTCACTGTTTGTGTCATGTGCACTTGAGTGGTTCTAGCTGTGGGTGCAAAAGCTCTGTGTGTTGAGCACCTTACTCCTTTTTGAACCTAGGGCTTCTCTTTCCTGCCTTCCTTGGGAGCATGCAGATATGATGACCAAATGAAAGTTGTTTTTACATGGTAAGTTTTAGCAGGTAATTTCAGCCACAGGTGAATCTCTTCTGTTTCTCTGAGGACTGGGCATTGCCAGCCCTGCTGTAGCTGGTTGAAGGGGACCAAACCTCTCAGGAAGACGGACTTGGTTCCGTTTGACCAGCCAGAGCAGGGGGCAGCTCCCTCGTGAGGTGATGCAGTCTCGAGAGCAGATACTTTGGAGAGTCGATTGTCACTTGTCCAGGCCTGTAACACAGAGAGAACCAGAGTTAGTGCGTACCCAAACCCAGGAGCCAGGCTTGCCTGGGATGTGCTCTCACAGTAATCAGATATAATTTGTGACAATCTTACATAATTTGTATTTTGCATGGCATGATTTCAACTTATTTCTTTTCATTTTAATTCTTTTTCAAGTAGAAACATCATGAAGAATAAAAATGATATAGAGTTATGGAACATGGAAAATAATAGAATTCCATGATTCTTCCTCTTCCCATCTTCCAAAATAAATTTAACATTTTAGTGTACAGTTGTTGACTATCTTACATCTTATTTTTAAAGTCTTTAAATTCAAGTATGACACATTTATAAGAGAATATATACAATACATATGTATGTTTAATGCATATGAGTATACACCAAGATGTTAAATTTATTCTGGAAGATGGGAGAGGAGAATTACGGAATTCTGTCATTTTTCATACCCATAATTCTATATAATTTCTCCTTCATATTTCTACTTGAAAAAAATTAAGAAATAGGGCCGGGGATTTAGCTCAGCAGTTCGGTGGCCTGCCTTGCAAGCCCAAGGACCCGAGTTCTATCCCCGGTACCACAAAAAAAAATTAATAAATAAAGTAAGTTGGAGGAATTACACATGATAAACCATACTCACAAATAACCATCTCCCTTAAAATAACTTCTACTGCTTTGTGCTGTATTGTTGAGACTTCCCGAATAGTTTCCTCATTTATCTCTTTGTATTCTTCCCCAGATATAACCACAACACTGCTTCTTTTTTCTTATAATTTAAATGTTTTTCTTTATAGCTTTTACCATTTATGCATATATTACTAAACAAAATATATATATGTACATAAGTACATATATATCATAAGTATTCTATGAGTTGATATTTTCATTTAAAATAATATCTGTAGGATTTGTGCATATTGATGTTTACAAATTTTCATTGTTTTGTAGTTCCCTATTATGAGAATATACTACAATTGATTTGTCCATTCCCCCAGCCATAGTCATCAAGTTTGTTTGCTCTGACAAATGGGTGCAACTGACTAAATGGTTTCTCAAGGGAATGAGAAAAATCTTTGATTCTTCTAGGTTTTAATGAATACAGTGTGTATGAATTTGTGGGCTGACCTTCTAAAGGAAAAGAAAATGTTGCTTTTCCAGCCCACAACTTGAGTGGGGAAAGAAACGTATGTTGTGACCTGCCTTTCAGGTGGTGCCGAAGCAGTGAAGTTTGAGGTCCATGTAGTAGCAGGTGTACTGTGGGCTTCTTCCTATTTCTAGGGAAGGGTGATGAAAGGAGCTGGAGTGGTTTAAGGAGACACTCCCCAGAAAGGTGGCCTGGCGGTCTTCATAATAAATGGCAGCAGGCAAGGGAAGAGGTGGGCAGACAGGATAGTTTGAATGATTCTAGAAAAATACTCTGTTTTGTTTATTTGTACTGGACAATGAACTCAGGACCTTGTGCTTGCTAGCAGGTGGCAGAACCACTGAGCTAAATCCCAGGCCCTAGGAAACTACTCTTTTCCCTTGAGAATAGGCATTGCCTGTCCTTTTCTTTCCTCTTCCCAATAAAGAGAAACATTATCCAGTGGAAAGTGTGTGGCTTTGGAGTCTCATTTGTTTGAGTTTACATCTCTTACTTTTCTGGTTCTTTTACATTCAGGAAGTTACCAAACATCTGTAAATTTCAATTTCTGTGTCCTATACTGTGAGAGAGAGAATACCTAGCTTACCTGCTTGTTTTGAGGCTAAATGACAAAGAAGGAATGGGGCACTGGGTCCCTAGTGGGTACAGAGGAGACTGACAGAGATGGTGGAAAAATCCTGAAGATAATTAATTCTGACTGCTTTTGGGGCCAAGAGCTTCATTCTCAATTTCAGCCTGTCCTGGGGACATTTCCCTTCCCTCAGCTGCAGGTATTTTTTTTCATCCCTGATGTTGTTCAGAACACTGGTCAGAGAAGCTAGTATTGACTTAACCAGCCAAGCAGATTCTTCCAGTTGGACTCCAGTTTGGGAGTTCTGTCTGTCCAGAATAAATAAGATAACCTGAACATTAAGGCACTCAAGAAAACACTGCTGAAATGGCAGCTGGGTAAAAGCACACTGTGATGGTAAGAAAGCAGGAGTTCTACAAAATATGCCAAGATTTTAGGAGGCTGTGAGCAGGGTGGGGATTCTGAGTAACTTCCTCTGTTGTACGCATCCTTCTGGTTCTGCAGTCAGCCTCTTACCTGTTCCATCCTCCTTCCCTCAATGACATATGTGTCTTGGGGCACTGCCAGCCAGTTCATCCTATGGTCATCTCCTTGACCCTGTCCTCCAGCTTCTCCTGGGGGAGCATGGCAATAGGCACCTGTGAGGGCAGAGGGCAGCTGTACATTCTGAAATCAGGACTGGATAACTCACGTCCAGCTCACAAGTCAGATGGACCACCTGCTTCAGGGAAATTTTTCTTTCTAGATGCTGTTTTTCCACAATATTTCTCCTCTCCTTTCTCCATGGTCTGCTCCACGCCCAGCTATGACCCACCCATGCAACACAACCCCAGTTTCTGAGAGGAACCCAATATCCAGAGTAGGAAAAGGAAAACTCTTTTTAGAGTAGTTATGTTTTAGGAAAGGGGAAGGGTTGTCGTTGGAGAGAAGCCCAATCTTGAGGCATTCTCTTATTCTACAAAACATGAAGATCAAGGTCTGTAGCATAAGGGGAAATAATTTCTTTGGGAAATATAGGGTACCATGATAGGCCAGTGTCAGACATCTTGCTTATTGAAAGCATCACTGTCAAAGGCAGGGCTTTTTCAACCTTAGCAAAGGAACCTTTGGCAGCTGGATAAATTTTTGCTGTTTGCATGTGGGGGGGCTGCCCTGTGCACTGCAGGATGTTAACAGCATCCCTAGGTGCTGCCAGGAAGCTCTCAAGTGTGATGACCAAGAAAGTATTCAGGGTTTTCCAAATGCCCCCTGCCAAGGAGAAAATTTACCCCTGATTGACTTAAAGCCGTACACTTCTGTGTTTGGTCCTGTGGCTGCCCCAACTGTAGTAATTCCCTGTGTCTTTCTACACCTCTTCCACTCAGAGTATGTCCTTGGCATGTCCTTGGGTGCAGTTACAGCCGCCTGGCTTCTGAAAGAGGACAGTGAGTGATGTCTGCGGTGTAGCTACAACATGGGGATCCTCCGTTCCGTGTGCTCTGCACACTACTTCTCAGGGGATGGCATCCCAGTCCCTGCCTTCCACCCAGCAGATAGGCATGTACTTTCTCCTCCCACCTTGTCTTCTCCCCTGTGCTTGCCCTGTGCTGCATTTCACATCTCCCTGCCACGCATACCAGCCTGGTGGTGTTTCTTTTGTGCTTCTGCTTATGAATTTGGTATAAATTCAGCGATGTCCCACTCTTACCTCACACATACTCACCCTAAAAATAAGGAAGCAAGGCCTCCAGGGGACATGAAGCCATTCTGGGGTTGGGGCTCAGTGAGGGAGGCACAGCCCTCATCCTTCTCCCCTCCTCAGAAGCTCTGTAGTGGGTGAGGCACAACTTCAGGCCACGTGGGGCGTCCTCAGCTCAGCATTGCCCTCTGAGAGTTCAACTCCCTCTGGGTTTGCGCTCAGACCCCTGAGAGTCAGAGTTGAGAATACAGGGGTCAGGGACAAGAGAAGAAATGAACCTGGCCATTAGATGAGAGAATTGCTTTCCTTTCTTTTTTCTTTTTCTTGTGTTACGGGGGATTGAACCCAGGGCCTTCACACTGAGCTACATTGCTAATCGTTTCACTCTTTCTTTTGATACAGGGTCTCACTAAGTCACCAAATTGCCCAGGCTGGGCCTCAAACTGTGATTCTCCTGTCTCAGTCTTGTAAAGTGCTGGAACTGAATTCCTATTTTACCATCTCAACCTTTTCCTCCAGTATCCTTGCCTGAAAGTGGCACTCTGATAGGGCTGTGGCAAGTAGAAAGAATAGCAGAGCAGGGTCAGGACACAGGACCTGAGGTGAGCTGCTCACTGCTGATGTGGTTTCCTGAGCCTCAGGATGTCTGCCCTTCATCTACTGTGAAAAGCTCTAGGAGGCATGTAGCGCAGCAGACCCATAATACAGTTGGTCAGTAAGGAACTATGATTTGGCTTGGTTAGCAGAAGCAGCCTGCTTTTAGGAGCAGTGTGAACAGAGGAAGAAGCGAGGAGGGTGCAGGGAAACCTTCGGTAAGGGTGTCCTCTTCCCCTAGCTGGTGTGAGGAGAAGGCCTGGAAGGTGGCCTTAGACAGGCCTTGTGGGCACCATCCAGTGGCTTGAAGCTCTGGATGAGAGGGGAGAAGGAGGTGTGGGCTTAGGAGCCCCCTGGGGCCAGGAGGACCTGATTTGTTGGTGAGGAAGTCAGTGATGGCTGGTGAGGAGGAAGTCAGCAAACCTGTGATCTGGGAGGGGCCTTGGGGCCATGAAGAGGCACTTGCCAAAGCCACACACTTCCTTACATTCCATAGCAAAGTAATCCCTATGGGGATATAAAGAAGCATGTGGTCTTGGGAAGCAGTGTCATCCAGAAGCAGCCCAGCTCCTCAGAAGGGGGCCACTCACCTTTCCTCCTTGCCTGGGGGGGACACGTGGAGGGGGGACCCCTGGGACCAAAATCCCCCCAACCTCAAACTATTATGTACTAAATCTGCTCTGAGAGATGGCGGTGCTTACAGGGACAGAATGTCCTTCCCTACTGTTTGTTCAGAAATAAATGACGACAAGTTTTATGGAATTATTTTGGTGCAGTTACCATTTAGCAAATCCTTTGTCATTACCACTAAGGAAGTCACTGGTGTTGCACTGTGCATTTCAAAGGGATTCTTATTTTCATGCTTGGAATCAGCAAAGGGAAAATTAAACAGAAGAGAGACTCCCAGCAGAGACCCATTTCTGTGTGTGCACAGAGAGCGACTCCTGTTGAGGGTGTGCCCAGCCCCACTGCACTTCCTACTTCACGCTGCTATGAGCTGGGTTGCTGCAGCTGCCACTCAGCATTCCAAGCACAATTGCTCATTGTGAGGATGATTTTTTGTTTGGTTTCTGCTCCCCCAGCCCATTCATCACCTGCCCCGCAATCTGTGAGGCCAGAGTTGAAGGACAAGGGGGATACTGACAGCTGTGAGACCTTCAGGGTCTGGACCGGCCACCCTGCTAAGGGGAGGTGGGGATTTGGGCTTCATGGCACTGATTCTCTGCCAGAAAACAGGGAGAAGTATGTTAAGAGAAGAATTTGGCCCCAAAGAAGGTTTGAGGCTCAGTGTTAGTGTGAGTGGCTAATGAGATCTCAACCGCAACTTTTCCAGCACATTTTCTGTGGCAAGATTTCCAGGGTTCTGTCTATGTAGGCTCCTTGAATCTTCACTACTCTATGAAGTAGTAGCTGTTTTATCTGGTTTTACAGATGAGGAAGATGAGAGTCGTAGAATTTACATACAGGTGAAAACAATTCCTTCAAAAACTAATCAGATTGGAGGGACATTCCTGAGTCAACATATGGAGAGAGGTTTGGAAGGTAAGAGGTGTTGAGAAAGAAGGAAGGAAAGTAGGAGGGAGGGAGAGAGGGAGAAGGGGAAGGAAGGAAAACACAATAGGCTTAACACTCCCTGTAGTGCAGCATTCTGCGGCTTTGTACTTGGGGTACTGGTTGTAGTGATGGCTTAAAATTGTATTTTTCCTTAGGAAAACAGGGGAATATCCTTGGTGCTCTGGCCAAAATCTTTCTGATTTGGAAATGGTCCAGTAACTCATTTAATCCAAACCAATGTCTATATGAGGTTTTGCTCTGAAAACAGTTTCTTCCCAGAGTCAAGCACAAGCATCTTATGAGCAAGACTTGGGGGCTGCTCTACCTCCTTCAAATTTGGGAACAGTGGTCTATGAAAAACAGTGTCACAGCTGATAGGGAGGGAGAGTCTCAGGCCAGAGGAGGAAATGCAGTTGTGTTTTTGTGAAAATGAAATGGTCCTGTATTTTCCAAAGACCCAGAGAGCTTCAGAGCAGAGTCGATGTTCGTTGTGACTAGTATACGTGTCAGCTCAAATCTTCCAAAGTGTGTGGCTTGTGGGTGGTTAGCAGTGAGGATCTGCTTAGATGAGAAGACCACTGAGCTTTATATCCAGAGAACTGCAAAGAGCCAGCCTTAAGAGACTTTACTATTCACAAGCCAGGTTGAAGCCCAGAAGGTGGAGAATTTATACAAGAACAGAAGTGAAGATTGCCGGAGAAATTATCTGAGATAGCCAAGGGAGTGCTAACCACCCCATGGTACTGTCCCCAACATTTCTGTGTGAATTGTTTTGTATGCGTTAAGCCCACTCTTATATGATCACAAAGTTACTTGAAAGTTCACTTGAAAGTCTCCAGGGAAAAACATTAAAGTATTAATACCCTGCTAGGCATAGTAATACACACTAGTAATCCCAGCACTCTGGGAGGCTGAGGCAGGAGGAGGTTCATGAGTTCAAGCCCAGTCTGGGCAAGTTGGTGACTTATTTTGACCCTGTCCTTAAACAAAAAGGCTGAGGCTGTAGCTCAATCTGAAGGTCCAGTGTTCAATCCCCAATGCCACAAAAACAAAACAAATTTTAAATACTATTAATAATCAATTACTTGACAGTTCATGAGCCCAAGAAATAAAATTCTTATCAATTTAGAACACACAAAAAATTCTGAAAATAAAGCGAAAGTTTGAAATGTGAATATCTATTATCAAAGACTTATCTAAACCCTTGTCTCTCTTTCCCTTAAGACAGATTTAAGATTTGAAAATGGAGTAAAAGGCCCACAGGTAGTGGGGTGAGAAACTAATCAACATACCTCAGACATCGCAAAAGTGGGAGGAAGAATTCTAGGATGGGAAACATAAAGACCCGTTTCTCTGTTCTGCTTAGGGCGGAGGGCATGGATGAGGGGCAGTTGGGTATAGGTTTTTCTACATTATTTATTTAGTTTGCGATCTCTCTGAATCTTTTGACTTTAGTAGGTAGGTTTAGTATAAAATATCATGACATGTGGCAAGTTACCTGGTCACTTGTGTGCTGTGTGATGTTGGTAAAATCATCACCTTTCTCCTCGTCCCTCCGGATCCCAGCCCACTTATCTGAAAATAGCAGTTGTGTAACCCGTCTGCCCTCCAAAGGGTGGGATGAAGATTAATGAGATAACACATATAAAGGTCTTGAGTTTCTTAAGAGAACAGCCCAGAAGAGTTATAAAAATGTCATGCAACACGCTATTGGAAAGATTTATTTCCTTCCACTCACCTTGCCCCATAATTTGACAATTGCTCAAAAGCCTTAAATTACTAAGTTGCCCTTTCCCTTGTTCCTGAGTATTAAACAGCATTTAGAGGTATTCAGGACTTGAGTAACAGTAAAAGTAGCATAAAAAGCATGAGTAGCGATCATGGTTTATTTTCTTAGCTGAGCAGAACATTTGTGTATTTGAACATAAATGACCAAGACATTACATATTGCAGAGACATGGGGATGGTGAATTCCTATTTCTGGCGCTTAGAAAGCCTCTTGGATCTGAGAAAAATCAAGGGCAGGGTGAGACAGGAAGTTGGAATTATAGACTAACACAATGTGATAATCTTCAAGGTTATTGGCTGCAGAGAGGTACACGGAGGAAAAGCATGGCTTGGGCATCTGTGACCCTGAGCCAGCTACTTATCCTCGTTAGGGCTCAGTTTCTTTATCTACAAAGTGAGAATAATAATGTGCACAAAACAGGAGACTTGGATGAGATAGACTTATGCAATGTGCTGTGAACCTAGTATTAGAAGTCTAATAAAGGGTACCCTTTTATTTTCTAATTTAATGCATTAGTATTGATGCAGAAGCTGAATCAGCCCACTGCAAACAAGTTCCTATACAGTACTTGAATTACTTTAAAGGTTTTATGAATATAGTAATTGTTTTTAGTTAAGTGGTGATTCAAAGGTATTTGGGAAAGCTTAAATATTATCAAAATATATTCTTTCTGTAATTTTAGTCTTTTTTTTTAAACCATGAAAAGTATCTTCATATGTTTGAAAAGACTTTGTTAAGGAAGCAGATTCATCAATATAATCTAACAAGATATCTAATAAGATATTATAGATGCTGAGTTCCAGGGCCTCAGTTCTGTTTTCAGGACCTTCATGAAAAGGTACACATGGTGAGGGGCCTAGGCTGTCCCGTATCAACTGCAAGGCATTTGCTCCATGACAAAAGCTCTGATGAGCTTGCAGGCCTTCTCATGGTGAGGAGGGGAAAGCAGCGCTGTCAGCAGAAAAATCACCTCTAGCTCACTGGCTTATCTTCCAGTGTAGATAGCTTCACTCTCCCTATTTCTTAGCCCAGCCAAACTTGCAAGCTTTAAACAACCTATAATAGTGTGTTAAAATGTATTTAGAGTGGCATATGTTTAGGGGGTGGGTTTCCTGATAGTGTTTGCACCAGGAGAAGCCTGCAGAGACACAGCCAGTGTCCAAACACACCCCAAATCCAATGGCTCCTGGCCTTAGGCACCAGTATCTACCCCTGGTGTTCTTGGTGGCTGTCAGTGAAACAGAAACTATTCTTAAATTGAGTAAGTCACATTCAAATTATTTTGGATTTACCATCATCTAGCTGAGGAGTAGGAAATAAAGTAGCCACTCCACCACCACCAAGGCAAGCACGGGATTGCATGTCAAGATAGGACTTTATTTTTCCTGGGGTTCAGCCAGAATGTCTTGCTATTTTTAAAGGACTGACTAGTTCTGAATGTTGATTCAGTCACAAGCATGGGTCCCATTTTAACTTCCCAGGGCAATAGGAGCACTGCCAGCCCAAGAACTGAATTTCTCTTCCTGAAGGAATCACCTCGGAGAAGGTGAGTATTGGTGACATCTCATAACCTCTGTTGTGCTGCTCTGATTCTTATCAAAGAGACTTAGAGCCAGGACTTCAGGGGGTATGGAGCAAGAGGAGAAGAGGAAGCCACCATTACACAAAGCCATTTACTTGGAGTATTTATCCTTATGACAATTCTGTGAAGTGTATTTTACAGGCAGGATGAAACTGTCTCAAGGAGGTTAATGACTTTGGAGGCAGAAAGTGGTTAAAGTGAAAATCCTATAGCTAGTGAATAGAAGACTTATGATTTGATGTTCTTTCTAACCCAAAGCACACATTCATTCTAATATGTTATATTTCCCACCTTGCCTGTCTCAGTACCACTGAAGGACTTAATAAGAATTCTGTCCCTTACCCTCCACTCTAGAGCCTGCAATCAGAATCTCCACGGGGCTGGCTAGGAGTCACCTTGATGACAGGCACTTCCACTTCTGGGTGAATTCTATGCTCAATAGATTTTGGGAAAGAACAGCTGTAAAGGAGGGAGTTGCTTTCAAATCGGAGTGACATCAGAATCACAAGAGTGTGTGCAGATTTTCTAACTTGCTTTTAAACATACTGTAATAAATGACCAAGGAGGAGGGTCCAGGAATTGGTAATTTTGCAACCACTCCCATATTACTGTGTTGCAGGTAGTAAGAGGACTTGGAAAATAATTGACTGTGTAATAAATAAGAAAGGTAGGGTTTCTCAAGTAATGAAATCATTAATACTGGAGAAAACTCACTTCACAACAGTGTAAGGAAAATTATTTAGCTTGGATTAAAGGAAGAATTTCTGTAAACACGATGATAAATGGTTAGACCCAGACAAAAGATAAACATTAGTAACAGAAAACTCATTCTGATCACTAACATCTTTTTTTTTTTTCCTCCAGTGTTCCCAGTGCTCAGCTTTCACCTGGAATATTCTTTTCCCTTTTCTCATCTTCAGAGTTAAAATGATGCTTTCTTTAAGGATCAGTTCACACAACACTTTCTTGTCCAGGTTTTCTGTTTTTCATGCCTGTTGTTTGTAGCTGGTTGTACAGCATGTCACATCTACCTTGCAGTCTAATTCCTGTGTACCTGAATGCACGGCTCTCTCCCCTTTTAGAGGACTGGCATCTGCACAGCTTCAGCTTTGATTTCTCAGCCCCTGGGAAAGGCCTTTGGTATAGCAAGGGTGGAGCAGACGAAACTCCCACTGCCTTTGTTGAGTACTTGCTATGTGCAAGTACCATTCCAAGCACTGTGACAAGTAACTTATATTAGAACTATTCCTATGTTACAGATAACTTGCAGTTTGCTGAAGTTTTTTTTTTTTATATGTTACAGAACTTGCATTTTGCTGAAGTTTTTTTTTTTTTTTTTTTTTTTTTTTTTTTTTAGATCTACCCCATAGGTATCACAATTGTTAGGAGATCTGAACAATGTGGGTTCAGGAAACAGCACTTTTTTATTTAAAAAAAATCTTAACTTTCTAATCTAGGAATCACCTGGATAGCTTCCTAAAATGCAAACTGCTAGGTCCTCTTAACTTTCTAACCTAGAAATCACATGGATAGCTTCCTAAAATGTAAACTGCCAGGTTCTCCCACCAGCTCTCCTGATGCAGGAAGTCTGGGGTAGAATTTGAACATGTTTCCAGGTAATGCTCATGCAGGTCGCCTGGGGACCACACTGAGAACCATTGCCCTATCAGTGATCCTGATGCTGTTCAAGCCGAGGGCAAGGAAACGACCCTCCCATTCTCAGCCATATTAAAATGAAGAGGTGACAAAGAGAAGTCAAAGCCAACAGAAGCCAGGGGTGAACCCTTCTCATAGGCATGATTGTCAGTACTTTCCCCATCGAGGGGGCTGACAGGTGGTCAGTCAACACTCCAAAGACAGGGAAGCCCTATTCAGGAAGTTTCCCAGGGTTTTGGGCTTGCACAATTGTATGCTCCTTGGAACGATTTCTTTGGTTCCAATATTTACCAATACAAAACGAGGTGACTCCATTCAGTGAGAAGAGAGGCCAGCTGAGGGCCCACTGACTCATGACCTCATGTAATATGTGCAGAGGGATCATAATGACAATACACTTCACTGTAATAATGCAGAACAACAAAGCTTATTAGCTCCAAAATAGCTTTCTTCTTCTTCTTTTTTTTTAAGGGCTCCTATTAAGCTCAGTGAGGATTAAGAATGGCTTAATGTCTAAGAAACAAGTCAGAATCTTGAGTCCCCCCGCCCCCCACTTTCCCAAAGAAACTCATGGCTCAGGGACTTAGTTTCTTAGTTTTTCCAAAAAAGTGTAATAGCTCACATTGTCTTAGTGGGGACACCTATGCGGTCATCTAAAACCCAGCCTCATTTACCAATTGAATGTTTGAGATAAACGACATACTAAAAATAAATTCTTTTGCGTTTCTTGGAAACGAATTTCATATACGTTTAAAATATTTTACTGAGCTACTTGAAAGGCAAATTGCAAGTTCAAGGTGACATGGTGCCAAGTTCTCACCCATTTCAGGTTGGATACCACCTAACACTGGCAGCTCTGTTTTAGGTAATGAGTGAGCATGGGGAATCTCTCCTTTCATTGTTCCTGGGTCTTTCAGGCCCACCCCCTGGCCCTCTCTGCCTCCGTTTCAAGCCTCAGCACACAGAAGCAGGTCCACCCTCAATATTAGCTAGCAAGGGCTGTTTCTGTCTTTCCTTTCTCCTCACTACTCGGCACACTCGCCCTGAATTCTTGTCATCCTCTCCTGCCTGTTTGCGACACAGAACTTGTAGCTTCACCTGCTTCTATAGAACGCCGTGCTGGCTTTAGATGATAGAAGCGGATCCCCCGCAGGGCTTCCCAAAAATTCTCAAAAGAAGAGAGACAGGTGGGCAAGGCAGGAATGACCATTAGAGGAGAAAGCAGCATTCTGAGCAAGCTCAGCACATACCTGGGGAGAGTCGCAGGCAGGTTCCTCCTCCTTTGTGGGCTTTCTTCCCGCAGGCTCCTGTCCCCATTGACATGTTTAGTAGAGTGTTATTTATTTATTTCCAGGGCTGGCGGTGTTGGCTTGCATTTCTATGCCTTCCTGTCAGAATCCTCCCAAGGAAACAGCAGCTGGCAAGCTCAGAAATGTCAGTCAGAATCTTGGCCTAGTTTGGGGCCTTAAAGATTTTTACAGAAAGTTAAAAAGGTTTCTGGGCCAGTGTCTCCTTTGGGCTTTTCCTCTCCTGCTTCTCACCTTTTCCATCTTCTATTTTTTTCTTTTCATTTTTTTTTCTACCCCAGTAGCTAGCTGCTTAAATTGCCTGTTTCTGTCTTTCTGATGGTCCCCTCTTGGGTATGGCCGTGGCTCTTCAGGCTCAGCCGAACAGCCTGGTGATTTTCTAAGCATTTAGATCTGCACCTGTGCACTGATTACTTGCTTTGTCTCCTTACTCATTTCTCTTTTCCTCCTTCGCCTTTTCCTCCTACCTCTTTTATCCCTATCCTCTTAGTCACTCCGGGAAAACTTCTTTATGCATATTGTCTATATTTTCCCATCTGTGTTTCGATCGCCCATTTGTCTTTATTCTTCCCTTCTGTCATTTTTTTCTAGCTTTCCCTCTACTTGTTTGCTGCGTAGATGTGACCAGCGTTCCGATCTCCTCTCCTCTCCAGCCAATCTTAATCCCTGTCTCCTCTGTCTGTTTCCTAAAGGCTAGCCTCCTCCTTTTTGTACTCTCCAGCCCGCTGCCCACCCCCAGCACACTCTCCCACCTGTCTATGTCTTTTAAGCGCCTTGGTCATGTCCATGCCTTCTGTCCACCTCAATCACCCCGGTGACTGGCTTCTGAAAGCTGTTAAATTACACCTCTTCAGCTGTTCCATTGCAAAGAGAAACGTCCTTTGCTAAATCCTTTTTCAGATAGGCAGATCCATATTAAAGTTTCTATTTATGGAATATACTTAAACCGTGGGTATGTTCTTTTAAAAAGTTAGATTATTAATTTTTTGAAATGAATGAGTACCATCTTTGATATTGGATTTCTTATTGGTTGCATCAATGCTAGGCCACTAAAAATACAGTTCATTTAGCTTGAGTGTAACTTATTTCGGCTGCTCTTCAAATGGGAACGTGGGTGTGGCAGAGTTAGAAAACATGAGTGATTTAGGATTTGACTTTAATGCCCCATAACATGTAATTAGTAAATGCCTGCCAAGTCACAGAGCACCGTGTTAAGCACTAGAAGGAGAAAGAAGCGCCTGTGTTTCCTGCCCTTGAGAAGCTTACAGGCTCTTCAGGAGTGGAACTTGAATCTGGGGGAATATTCATGTAAAACAGAGTATAGCAGTGTAAAACTATATAGTACAGAGAATAAGAATATTCACATTCAGAAAGAGAGGTTGCTGAGTGGTGGCTCAGGCAACGACAGCTTCATGGAGGAGGTTGGACAGTTTTAGCTGGGTCCTGAAGGACAAGGAAGGCTTATGTATGTGGGAAGGACCTTCTCAGATAGGGAGCAGCCTGGGAAAATACACTGAGGCAGGAATATGCGATCTGTATAGGAAATACTGATCAACTTGTGACTAGATCCAATGCTTGGTGAAAGGTTCAGTCTTGGGAAGGCTGTGGGCACAATCCGTCATTTTGAGAAAATATGCAGTGGTAGGAGATCCCAATATTCTGAGAGTTCCTTGAGGCCATACATTTATACCATCTTCATTTAAAAAGTAAGGCTATAATGTTGATGTAGTTTCTACAAATTCAATGAATATGAATTTGGATTTTTTGATAATTATAGTAACATCTGAATAACATGGTCTGAAATTTGTTATTACTGAATAGTCAGAAACAGACACTTATCTCCAGTCTCTAAAGTATTAAATTTATTTTTCTCAATTTTTTCTGAAGTTTATTATTAAAATTTGCATATACAAATACAGAAACTGTTAGTCCACTCTCTTCCTGATTTTCCAGCATTCTTTCTCCCTCACACAGTCTACCCTAAACTCTACTCAACACCACATTTCCTCCCTTACTTAAAAGCTTAAATTTCAATTTGGCTGGATTAAGCAATCCTTTATGGGTCTGTAGATACTTTGACATGTTTTTCTACTGCTTCAAAAATTTTGGACCCTTTTTATGAGTCTAGCATTTATAACACTGTAAACAAACACCCAGAGGCCAAGTTTCTTTCTTTTTTTTCCTCTTTCTTTCTTTTTCTTTCCTTCCTTGCCTTCCCTCCCTCCCTCCCTCCCTTCCTCCTCTCCCCTCTTTTTCTCTTTCATTTTCTTTCTTTTATTTCCAGCATGCAGAGGGCTCTCAGTAAATACTTGTTAAAATAAAACTGGGTCAAAAGATTTGCTAAAATTCTGCAGTACAACATAAACCCAACAAAGGATAGCATCTATTAAATGTTGGATCAATCTTTCAGTTCTTTAGAGCTTTACTTGAAGTCAAGAAGGAGCTGATATTAATTTATTAATTTAATTACTTATCTGTATAGGATTACACTTTACACTTTGGAGCTAAAACATGAGCCTCAATGACTTTTTGGGGTGGACAAGTCAGGGAGATATTGGCATTCAAATTTAGAAGATGAAGAATCGTATATACAGCAATGAAGGAACCCCATTGCTAGTTACTGAAAAGTCATGAAATCAGACAAGGTATTAGGACCTGAATAAATTCTATCTTCACCTTTACCTGAGTGCCTCTGCCATTTTGAAAAGTGAGAAAAGAGCTACTTTGCTTTCCCTAAAGTCTTGTCTAAACCAGGCTGGTTTTTAATGATGCAAGTTTATGAGTGAAGTAGGTGTGAAGGTGAACAGCAGGAGGATTTCCTCCTGAAATTTTCCCAAGGAGGGGTCTTCCCTGTGGAAATTTCTAGAAACTGGAAAAAAAGATAAAATTGGAACCAGTGTGAACACAACTGCTCACTAATGTTCCAGACTATCTCACTGAGTTACTTCATTTAGCACATGAAGGGTAGCAGTGACACTTTCCGTTGGTCTCAGGACCAGAGTCTCTGGATAGCAAGAGGATTACATCCTGTTCAGTGAGGAGGACTTAGAAGAGCCTTCTCTTTCTGAAGGCCACCACTGAGAGAATGTGGTGAGGGGGAAGAGAGTACTCAGGGTGGCTTATTCTTAGGGCCCTTCAGTAGTAAGCAGAACACTCTGTATGTGTAAGGGGAGGGACCTAAGACTGTGGAGGAATGTAGAAAACAGACTGTTCATGATAAAAAAATCATTCAAGTGCTCTGTAGTGGGCTCAGGTACTGAATTTCCCAAGGGTGACAGTAATAATAATAATAATACCAATAAATGATAGTAATAATAATAATAGATGATAATAATAAATCATTTGAAATGCTGCTAGTACTGCATATTGCAGTCTTTATACAACAGTGGGCAGCTGTTTAGCTAAATATGTTCCCCAGTTGTCAAGAAAGGACCCACCCCTGATACAGGAGAAACAAATCAACCATGAGGTGGGGGGCACACACAGGGCAGTGCCACTTGGGGGTGAAGACTCCATCTCTGCCCTTAAGGAATTAGAAATTTGAAAATTTGCTCGAAATTTTAAGTTTGACCTTAAAATTTTTATTTTAACTGTAATATGGAGGCACATAATGGCTTTGTGACTGAGGTTGTATAGGACAGAGGTCAAGTAAGATATCATGTGTCTTAGTTGATTGTTCTGTTCCCAACCAAATGGTTGACAATTGTCAGTTACTCTGGAGCTAGAAACCTATGAGGGTGTTGTTAGCAATGAACTTGTTTTTTTACTTCCAAGGTGGTTTAGTTTCTCGTTGGTGGTGTAGTGGTGAGCATAGCTGCCTTCCAAGATAGTTTAGTTTCCTCAGACCTAGAAGGTAGGACTTGCCACCTATTGTATGGTTGCCAGAAATCATTGATTCTCACTATAATGTTTTCTTCTACAACTCAGAGGTGCTAGTGCTAGTGACGGAAGTCCTTCTCCTATTAGATTTTTTTTTTTGTTTTAGAATTAAAGAAATTAGCTTATTTTGTTTTGTCTGGTCGTCCTTTTGATGTGTAAACAACACATAATGTGTTATAGGGAAGAGACAAGTTTGGATTTCATAAAGGTGGATTCTGCAGTGGGTAGAGTTAACTTTGGTGATTGTGGGTTTGAGGCATTTTTGTCCATAAGTGGAAAGGGAAGGGAAGATTTAGTTCAGGCTTGTTATTCTGCAGTAAGAAAATGAATCTTTGAGAGTTAAAGGAGATAGATAGATAGATAGATAGATAGATAGAGAGGGCTTTCCCCTGGTCACTCTTAGAATTAGCACCAGAGCCAGGGTCAAGACTCAGCCAACCTTTGGCTCCTGATTCACACACAGTCTTCTATCCAGCCAGGTTTGTTTTCATGACTGAGATTATATAAGATGATTAGTTGTTGCTTAGTAACAGTTGAAGCAATTTGAGAAACAGGTGTAAACAATGGAAAATTCATTTGGTTAGATATGTGCTTAGCACAAAAGTTACCCCAGTTGATTGGCTTTGGAAGGAAAAAAAATCTTTATTCCATGTTCTTTTCCTCATTTCCTCTTCCTTTTCATTCTCTTTCTTATTTCTTCTCCTTTTTCAAAAAACTAATATTTGAGGGCTCTTTAAGCATTTAAAAGAACTGGAAAAATCATTAAACTCTCTTTAACTTATGAAGAGATAGCAAAGGAAAGTTGATTATTAGTCATGTGATCTCCCTTCACCATATGACAAAAGAACATATGATTTTAATGTAGTGAAAGGATTTTAGTTAAGCTTAATAGAAATTAAGTTTTTTGGCTCCTACTCTGAGACAACTTGATACTTTCAGATATTTTTTCTCATTAAATCAAACAAAACTGCTGTGTGCTTCATATACACACTAAACTCCAGAGTGGGGTTTGTTTTCTTTATCTTTATATTTTGCTGCAGCTTTCTGTATTCAGATTATTATTTCAAATAGATAGGCTATCTCTTATTTGTATACCATTGAATTAAAAAATGATATCTAATACCTTTTAAAATGTGTGTCTGGATTTTAAAATTATAGTTGCTCAAAGGTTTTACTTTCTGTATTGGAAATATGGACATTTGTAGTTCAAATGTTATATCATCTTCAAAGTGTACCCAATGAAGCCCAGTCTAGAGTAATTTGACACCCACCATCTTTTGTTGACGAATGACTGAAGCAAGCAAGAAGACTAAGAGGTTGTGAGTTGGCAACATTTGATTTTTTTCTGGAATCTGTGTTTCCTTGCTTTATTTTATCTTAATGTAGGATATTATGTGTGCAAGTGTTTCGTGTATCGTCCTGTCAGACTTCTCAATGACAAAGTACACACAAATATTGGAATTAACTTCAGAATAAGACTTTCTAATTAAAAAACAAAAATAGTTTTATTTTCTTGCCAGTCTAGAGCTAAATTTTAAAAGTTCTTGTGGATTAAATTATCATTATAATTATTACTTTTGTATGGTTACTAAAAATAGCATAAAATATTGCCAAAAATAATTACAAAAAATAAAAAATCTGGAAATTTATGTTTTATGAAGTTGAAAAGGCATTTTGTTTTTCTGGGTATTCATAAATATAGGAACAGATCTTACTAAAGGTAAGAGTGAAGTTCAGTGTAAATTTAACTTTCCTTCCATTTATAGATGAGTACTAAGAGCACTTTTCTCACAAATAAATAAGAAGG